ATCCTGAAAGAACAGCAAAGAATGCCAGAAGTATAATGTAGAAAGAAGAACTAATCTTGTAAAATGAATGGAAGTAGAAGAAATTCTGGCTCCTGATTTCATGGAGATTTGGGTTATCTGGAAGTCACTTGATAGTCTATGGACTGGAGTTGTCAGAACTAAGATGAACCTAAGAAAATGGGGCTTTTGCAACAGCACAGTGTTTTATGAGTACAGAGAGAAACAGGCGAATTCGCATCTATCTCAGGGTACTTTATGTCCCTCAATATGTATTTGATGCTAGTTGCCCCAAATGCTCTTGACATTGCAAAGCAAAAGCATGCTGCTTATACTGTATACTGCCCCATAGTGCTTCAAGCACTCTCTAGGCGGTTTGTAAGTTAATTATGCAGGCTCCACATTGTCCCCCCCCCCAGCGAGCTGGGTACTCATTTTACCAACCTCAGAAGGCTGAGTTAACCTTGAGCCAGCTACCTGGGATTGAACCCCAGGTCGTGAGCACAGTTTTGCCTGCAGCACAGCGGTTTAACCACTGCGCCACGAGGCTCTTCTGTCTGTTTTATCAAGAGAAATTATCTGATATATTAATTGTGCTGTGGTAATTCTGACACTAACTGGATGGATAGACCAAACATGCTTTCTCTCAATAATCTAGTGGCATCATAATGAAGTACACCTGTGTTGGCTAGACCTGGGAGGATGCTGCAGAGGAACGGGGGTGGGGGTGGGGGAAAGTGTATCAAGTTCAGAAAGTGGATGCTGAGACCCCAGAGTCTTCCCAGGAGTGGGACTATGTGATCAAGGGGAATCTGTAGATGGAAAAAATTGTGGAGTTGCAGTTCATGAAAAGTGAAGGGCCTCAACACCAATACTCTTGCTCAACCCCTCATCCTAATTACTGGGCAAAAAAAGACATGCCCAGACAAGACTCCAAACACCTGGGGATACTCAAAGAGGAGATCCTACCCCAATGCAACTGCAGTGTTGGACATGACAGCACCAGAAGGCTAAGCTGCACTGTCAACAGGAGGAACTGTAGCAGGACTCAGAAAGAGCAGTGAGCCAAGGAGCAGGGGCCCCTGGTACTTTGTTTGCCCTGCCCTCATTGCGGTTCTACTGGACTTTGCATCTCTGGGCCTCAAACTTTGGAGGCCAGTGGTACCCACCATTGAGATGAAATGTGGATTCCCCCAGTCTGAGTCAACTGGGGGCGGGGGGAATTGTAAAGAGAAAGATTGAACCAGGGCTAGTGGAGTCAACTAGCCTTGGGACTGGACTGTCCACAAAGTTGCTGATGGTTGAGTTCCCCTCCCAAGTTTCAATAAAGCCTGTTGTTTTTGTACAAGCTGGTGTGACCTCCATTGATCTGGACATGGTGGAGGGACCACCTGCCGACCAGGGAAATGTTGGCAGAGCTCACAGCGGTTCCCAACGTGGGGACTCTCCATCTAGCCTGGGAATTGCTGAACAATGGCTGCCCAGGGCCTCAGAGAGCCAGGACTGATTAGCATGACCTCTAGCTGAGCAACAGAATGTTCTGCAAGAACAAGTCTTGATAACCCAACAAGGACTGCAGGCTGAGACTTTGCAACAAGTAACAAGCATGGTTCAGAATTCCAGCATGCCAGGGCAAAACATGCTCCCCGGGAGGTAAGGGCCCATCTGCAGGGCACTTCACAGGGTTCCAAGCATTTCACACACATTACTGTATCTTTTTCCAAGTGTAACAAAGAAGCCTACAAGGTAGATCAAGTCCTTTATTGCAAACTGGAGGCTGACACTAACAGCACTGTGGCTTGGGTAACAGTGCCTGACTCTGAGTGCAACTCTATGAATGCTTACTCAGCAGCAACCATGACTATGTCCAATGGAGCTTACTCCCTAGGAAAGGCAGCCAGGATCCGAACCAAAGTGTGTGTGTGGCAGAGGTGAGATCTGAAACCTGAGGTCAGTTTATCTTCTTGGGCTGCAGGTTGGTGCATGTCGACCTGAGAAATGGACAAGCTTCCCTGAAAAATGGTACAACTTACTTTTGAGTAAACATGTCTAGGATAACACTATCAGCCATTTCAATGGACATTTTCCACCAAGCATACAAAATATTCTGTCCAAAGAATAGATCCCAGTTCAGCAGCTTTCAAGCCCACAGTGCCTGTTCTGCATAGGTCTGCTCGGGAGTAACCCCCTGCTGAAAGAGCTTCCTGAGAGACAAACCAAAGCTAATACTTAAAGATAATATGACATCCAGGTGATTCCAAAGGATAGTATTTTCTAGGTATCAAGTAGGCAAAATTGATTTGCTACTCCCTTTTTCTGATGGCACTCTGGGACTGCACAGGTGGCAGGACACACCACACTGTTAACCTTGACTACTGGCTCCTGAGTAACCAATTGGGAAACTAAGAAACATGGTCTAAGCTCCACATGGGAAGGCAAACAGAGTCTAAGAGCCAATGTTGTAGCAAGTCACGACATTTGGCAACTGCTACTGCTGGGAAATAGCCTCAGCATATAGGTCTACAAAATCAAGACACTATTAAGGACGACATACAGCTACTCTGGGTTGGGTGATGCAGCAATCCGGGAATTACATAGGTGGCTTCGAAATAGGACAGTGCTGATTTTAGACACTGCCGAACCGGGGGGGGGGGAAGGGGAGAGAGGAGACTAGACAAAATATGTTTGTGTAGCCGGTGTAGCCCTTCCTTCATTTGTAGTAACGATTTCAATACACACTAGCCTGTGTGCAAACTGTACATTATTAAATATTTAAACAACGTGCACAGAGATGAACATGAGGCATACGTTATGCCCTTGAGTGGGTCATGAAAGAGAAATATCTGCATTTAAAGAAGATATGTTAATGCTGCAGATCCCATTTGTGTAACCCTTTGTACACCTGGGTTGTAAGTGCATGTTTATCCAAAGAGATGCATTTACTACCAACTTGCATTTGAGAAGGAACTACACAGCTCACCAGCAGAACACAGACTTTGAACGCAAAAAGGGTCCCAGCTTTACCCTCTGGCATCTCCAGTTCAAACGATCAGGTGGCAGACAATGGTGAAAACCTGGTGCTGCCGTCAGTCACAGTGGACAATAATGGGACAGGTTGACAAGAGGCTCCCACATGTCCCCTCTGTATTCCTGCATAAATATATACTATTTAGAACAGCAGAGTTTCCTATAAACTCTGCTACTGAAACAATTTAGCTGCAATGTTTCATTGGACCTCCGATTCCGAGGAGTGTTTTTGAGTACTGTATATAGTGAAATTATTATTGTTTTGGACTACAGCTTCTGGAATTCCTCCACTGGTATGGTCACAGTTGTTTAAAAAAATAATTTTTCCACTCTTCTGTTATGACCACATACAATGGCAGTTCCCAAACGGTCACTCAAAAGCAGCAGTAAAAGCCATTACCATTGACCTTAAAAGAGAGAGAGAAAGAATTGCACTCTTTTGCCTACAAAATAGGCTATGACTCCTTACTCCCTGGCTATTAATTTCACTTTTGCTAATAAAGTTCTCAGCGGCTTTAGATTAGCCATGCTGGACCCCCCTCTCTGTCCTAGTAACACTATAGGGACAATGCTCTCTAGGAGCGTGTACTAGTTTCTCAATCCATTTCTTGCTTGAATAAGGATGCACCTACGAGTGCCCAATCTGACTAGGGCCCTTTTGGTGCCATTCCAATTTGATCTTTGTTCGGATTCATGAGACCATTTATGCGTTTTTGGATCTCTGCAAAATACCACACCCCCATGCACAGGAAATGCAAACAACCACGACTTAGGGTGGGGCTACCCACTGCCATCCATGTCAGTCATGTGGTGGAATGCAAATACTCAAGGGAGTGATACAGAAAAACATTCTTCCGCCCACAAACCCTACTCTAGCAATGGCATAATGGCAAGCAGTGGCCATTGCAAGTAAAAACGGGGGGAGACAAAGACAACCCAGCCTTCTAAGTACGCTGATTCTGACATCCTCCTCCTTCTCATTGTGTGCTCTCAGTTCTGACTTACAGTGACCCTTTTCGAACAGACAGTACCCAGAAATGGCTTACCATTCCTTTCTTATGGGGCACCCTGGGACTCTGCAGCTTGCCCAAAGCTACACAGTCTGACTCTACCCACAGGAGGCACAGTGCGGAACCAAACTCCCAACCTCCCTAATTCACTGAGCTACCCAGTCAGCCAAGTCCCCACTAGAAGAATGGAGGAATTCATCCACAGTCATGCATTTTTTCAATCCTAGTGGTCTAAACTTTAGCACACTATGCTGCACAAGAATGGGGGTGGGGTGGGACAAAATTCTACAATATGAATGTTAGCTACCAGTGGCAACGCACGTCTTTCACATCACTCAGCAGCACTAAGAAATGCAAGGTGATATGTATATTGATATAGTGCCTAGCAAAGTCAGCAGAAATCCACCCTAGCATCACAGTGGTTGCTCAGGTATTAAAGGATTTGCTTTGTCAGGGAGCGCTCTGCCTTAGGGCAATTGGTGGTTACTTGTTCTGCCATGTTGTCACTCCTAGATCCCACTGATTTGGCCCATTTTCACACTTTTGGCCAAGGGCAGTGAACATCCCAAGTGCTCACTTGACCTACCATTCCTTCTTTCAGACGCCGTTATGTTCCCACATTCTTAGGACACACAAGGTATTATACAAATGACATTTTTAACCATGATATTTGACTTCAGTATTACAACGAATATCCTAATATATAACCACCAAATGCAGTTCTCATACACATCAGATCTTTGGGAATTTTGCAGAGTGCTAACTTTCCACCTACTAATGACTATTATTTTGAAAGATGCATGCAAAGCAATCCAAGATACCACCTACATTATTTCTACTCTATTTGAATGAACCGGCTATGTGTTTCTATCTCAGAGCACAGCAGAACAAAAACTCGGGTGAGATTGTCTCATTGCAGAAGCTCTCGGTTCCTCCAATGCTACTGCAGTATTTGAGGCATTCTGGTGTTTGTGACTTTTTATTCATTCCACATAGAAAAGCATGCAGTATTAATGTAAAACAGTACAGTATTCATGTAAAATGCTCAGTGCACATTTGGTAAACAAGCCATTAGCATACCAACCCATTTTTATGAACTACACAGGCACAAATCACACAGTCTTGTACAAGTGGCGCCTTAAAGGAAATGGTTAAAAGTGGTGTTTAATTAAAAGAAAAAAAAGGAGGAAGAAAAATAATTGGGTTCTCCGCCTTGAGCAACGAGACAGTTTTTTCTAGCTGAAAACTTGGCAAAGAAATTTACTATTAGCTACACATTGAACACTACAGATGCAGGAGAGATAGATATGAGAGAGACTCATGCAGATATGAGCAGGCAAATTTTTAATTCTGAAAGCCAGGTTCTGAGAAAAGCTGGTTTCAGCAACAGCAGCCATCACAATCCCTCCTTAAGAGAAGCAATTAAGATGTTCTCCTATAAGTCGCTTACCCTAGAAACACTGGTTTCAATGAGAATCTGTCCTGAAAAATCTATCACACTCAGTAACCGGACATTTAACAGCTCTTCATGGGATAGAAGACTTCATGTAACCCAATACTAAAACAAAATCCAAAGAGCTCTAAAACAGAAGACATTTATCAAGCTATGAATGATTTTAAAGACTGCATCTTCAGCAAAATAGTTTGGGACTCTAACCAGAGGCTACAGGTGGGCTCCATCGCTCAGTGTTTAAGTAGAAGACAAGCTGAGGTCAAAGGAGGACCTAAGACGAATTAATTTTGGGGGTGGGGGCAGGAAACCTGAACATCATCACATTGGCACTACAGATATTTCTGCTTAGAAAACATGTCAGTCAACAAGGGAATCAGTTCTTGGTGGTTTTTGATGGACTGGCGCTAGACAGGCTGTTGTGAATTTTCCTTTTTGCTGATGCATGGATGCTTTTGGCTTTTCGGTCTGGTACAAAGGATGATGACCATGGAGACTGGAGTTGGTTGTGGAGGTTTTGCAGCTCAGGCGCCACCTTAAAAAGAGAGGGCCCAAGTTTGTGCTCTTCAAATGATCCGCGCGAATTACTAAAGAGAAAGCTCGGGGAAAGCTCCCTTTGATATAAGAAGCTCTGAGGTTTCATTTCATTTGTTTCAGACGTCCGGCCACCAAAGAGTGGAAAAGGTTCTGTGACATCTAATGCTGTGGGAGAAAGGATCGAAAAACTTGTAGATTTCCACTCGCTCCCCTCTTCCGAATGTTCGCTCGGCAGAGGACATTTGAGGGAATTTTGTTCCTTTCTTTCCTTCATACCTTTCTCTTTTTCAGTCAGATGATCAGGACATTGTGTTGACTTGCAAGAATTATCCAGGTCTGAAGAAGACTTGGAAGGGTAATAGGGACTCTTACTATTGTCTGATTCAGACATCATGGAGTCCAGTTCAGAGATTTTATCAAGGTAGGCAGCATCCATAGATGCCTCACTGGACGTTCGGGTGCGGTTCATTTCCAAAGAACGGACAGAACTCAGTTTCTTAGGCACACTCTGGTTGTGTGATTTTTCACTGGATTTGGATGAAGACTCCCCGGAGTCACTGGTGACTGTATTTGTTTCAGAGCCTTCAAAATCCAAATTCTCATCGTAGTGGGGCCGGCACCTGTTCCAAAAGACTGGTTTTTCTGATGGAAAGCAAGTCACCTTGTTTTCAACACTCTCACAACTGCTTGCACTGTGTTGTGGGGAGCCTTTGCTACAGTCATCTGATGCCTCCCCAAAGTCTTCAAATTCCAGTTTCCTCAGAAAGGTGGGGGGCTCCCTTGTGCTCTCCTCTTTCACCACAGGATCGTCTTTGTTGTTGGGTGTGTTCAACTGGAGGCAACTAAGAGACAATGGCGTACATGGATCCGGAAGGTCATAAAGTTCTTCTTTATAGGGTCCAATTTTATCCCATGTTTGTTCTGAACAGGTATCCATATCGGAGCCCGATATATCCAAGAGACTCCCTTGAGAGCCCGAAAAAACCTCCCTTCCAGCAGCACACTGCTGGGCTACAGATTCATCCGAACAACCCTGGCTGCCTGCATTTAAACACACGTCATTGCTGCTGCTTAACAGTCCGCTACGTGCCGGCTGCTCAAGATCATCAGGGGGACGGTTCACACACAGGCAATTTGGGTCTATGCTCTCCCCTGGGCTTTCTAACAATGCATTCTTGTTGGGGGCACCTTCACTCTCTTTCTCCTCCATGGGAACAGGAACATCACTTTCGGCATCTGCAGTTTTCCTCTGCTCGCCTTCCCTCTTCAGCTGAGAAATCTGTGACTCCAAATCTTCTATGTAGGCATCGCTTCTCTCCAGGGCCTTTTTCAGGCGGTTCATTTCCCGCTCGGACTGTTCTAGCTTGGACTGAAGGGCAGCGACCGTGAACCTCCCAAACCTGCAAGAAACCAACAGATCAGAATTCAACGTTGGTTTTAAAGACGCTTTGGGAGTGGAGGAATCCCAAGTCTCATATTAACAACTCACACCTCTGGCACATTTGTTCAGAAGCAGACAGACAATGCTTGGGTTATGGCCAATGATGGCTCTCCCTGGAACACTGAAAAGCTAAAGAAGACGGTATATACCATTGTTGAAACTGTGACTTGCTTTCACCCCATAATAAAGGGCAGAGGGGGGCAGATACGCTCAGCAAGCCCAGCCCTACCTGAAAATCTTTGATTTTCCCACCCATGTAGTAACTAGGCCTTGCTTATCTTCCAAAATCAGCGGAGATTCACTGCATTGACAGGGGCATGAAGCCAAACCTTCTACACAAGGGTACTGCGCTCACACTGGACGCCTCACACCCCTGCTTTTTAACATTAACCAAAGCTCCATGTTATAAGACTGCTGAAAAGTGTGGGTCTTTGTGCTCCTCAGAATCAAAATTCCACATTTATTATAAAAGAGAACAGAACCTATTTCCCCCCAAAAAATGTCTACAGCTGAGAATTAAACCATTAGCAGCACTCAGGCAATAACAAGCAGAAGATTACCCTTCCAGGGGCTGGACCTATCCATTCGACTCAAATATGCATGAAGAATTATCCCCTAAAACAATGGCAGAGATTTATGATAACATTTGAACAGCGGTCCACATCTTGAAATATTTACATTCAATCATTTTCTTACAGCACAGCAGCGTTTTACAATATACATTTCATCCACAATGTCACCTTGTCAAATATAAAAATGCCAATATGAAATTCAGTAATTGTCATCATCCTTTAGAGGGTTCCCCCTCCTTTCATTTTTTTTTTTTAAAAAGAGACTCATTTGGAGCCTTTCGATTATGTTCCTCTCTGATGTACAGCTTTCACTCAGCCTCCACTGGGCTCGCAGTGTAAAAAAAAATTATTTTATTTTTAAAAAATCTTGCAGTGCTGCTGGTTTCTTTGGAACCCTGTGCCAACTTCAAAAACACAGCAACCACTGGAGATGAGTTGTGTTCTGAGAAGAGCGTATGCTGCCTCCTTGATCACTTCGTTTCCAAGTTTGTTTGTTCTTTGTATATTCCCTGGCACAATTTAAAGAGCTGGTGCCGTTAAGGACTGAAATCAGGGGCAGAGAAACCCCACACATTTCTTGACTGTGGTTGTCATTAGGCACCATGGAAGTAATTGCCCACATCCACTCAAGGGCCTGCTGTTTCCCCGTCCATGCCATAAATGGCTTTAAAGCCCTAAATCCCAATAAGCAATGTGTGGAAACTGCAAGGAAACAGGTTTTGGCAAAACATTAGAAATGGCTTCCTAAGAGTGACAAGAACTTGACATTGCAGCAGAGGGCCTCAAGAAGAAATGAGCTCTTTTCCACTGGGAGGTCAGCATCCTACTGCTGAACAAGAATAGACAACAATGGCATCAGGGTAAATGTTGTGCCGCAGGCTCTCGTCATGGAGATCCCTCCCTGTGTGATGACACCCCTTGGGCAAGGTGTGTGATTCTACCCTACCACCCTGGTGGGAGTTACTGCTCGGTGGACGCAGGACAAAATACTTGCCAAAGCATTTAAGCAAAGGCTGGACAGCTAACTGTCAGAGACACTGTGACTGCATCCTGCACAGCAGATCCTATTGTGAGAATTGGGTTGGGCTAGATGATCTCCAGAATACTCTTCCCATGCTGTGATCTTCCAAGGACCCTTCCCTCCAGGTGCCATTGGGTGTGAAAAAGATAACTGGGGAGAAGCCCTTCTCTGTGTTAGTGCCTCAGTTGGGGTCTGTTAACTCAACACAAGCAGGACCAGGTTAAGGTCTTCAGAAGGGCTCAGCCTTCTGAACTCCTGATTTTAACTCTGTTGTGCTGTGCTACTATTTATACGTCCCTTCCCCCCAGCTTTTCTAACAATATCTATTTTAGTCGGCACTTTCTGCATGTATGGAAAAAAAGGAACCATGACTAGGAGACAGAGAATGCACATTTTAAAGACAATACCAAGGCAACATGTGGCTGGGTATCACAGGTAATTGCTGGGATCCAGTTAGATGCTGGATCCTTGATAAATTTTAAAGACAATACCAAGGCAACATGTGGTTGGGTATCACAGGAAATTGCTGTGATCTTTCCAAAGAGCTAGATGCTGGATCCTTGATAAAAGCCTACCTCAAGAACCCTAAAGAACCAGAAAAGGCTATGAAGGAGACATTGCCCCTCAAAGTGTCCCCAAAGGGTGTCCCTTAAGCCTTCTGTGCTGGATGACCTCACAAGGGATACTACTGATGACTAGAAAAATCAAAAACTGGATATATTTTTTTTAAAATTTGAGGAGCACATGAAGTTTACTGGTCAAAAAGGGAAAGAAACTCAGATGTTCTCTAGGTGATGGCTCCTGAAGCAGGTGCCGCACTCTGCCTTATAACAGGGCTCTGTCCTGTCCTCTTTCTTTCCCTGTTCTGTTTTCTCATACCAAGGTCATAAACAAAGTTTGGTCTAGGTGCAGGCAGCCTAGTGCTGGCCACAAATCCTAGATTCCCAAAGCTCCAGCAAACCTGACTATCAAGGATTACAGAGAATGCCATCCAAAATACCAGAATGGAATCTGGCTTCTTACCCAGTTTACTCCCTTTCCTCCAGGAAATGTATGAGATCATTAGTAATCACAAGGAGAACCAGAGCTGCCACCTTCATCTAGTTCCTTTCTCTGTTTGCTAACAGCAACTAGCCACATGCCTCACGTACGTTAATGAATACATTTTCTTATGCTATACTTTCTTTAGCCAGGTATCAGGGTAGAGTACAAACACACAATATTATAAGAAGACATCATCATAACAAAAAAATAGGTGGTGGGTGAAATCCTGTTGATCAGAGTACAGTGGTCCCTCGCTTGACAACGTTAATCCGTTCCAGTGAAATCGCTGTAGAGCGAAATTGTCGTCAAGCGGGTGGGAAAAAACCCAATTGAAACCCGCTCAATGCGTTCCAGTGGGCTAAATACCTAATCGTGCAGTGAAGATCCTCCATAAGGCGGCCATTTTCTGGTGCCTGTCTTGCGAAAAATCCATCCTAAAAACAGCAGGGAGCCATTTTGCACAGCGGGCGGCCATTTTGAGAGCCGCCGATCAGCTGTTTCAAAACCATCGTTAAGCGAAAAATCGGTTCCCGACGCAGGGAACCGATCATCGTAAAGTGATTTTTTCCCATTAAAACATCGTTTTGTGATCCTCATCGTCAAGCAGATTCTTTGTTTAACGAGGTAATTGTTAAGCGAGGCACCACTGTATTCAGTTTGCAATTTGAGTAGGCCCATTGAACCAGTAGGGATTTGGTAAGTCGGCTTCTCCATAATTTCTACTGAATTAATGGGCCTACTGTAATTGCAACCTACTACGCCAAGCAACAGGGTTTCAGGCAGCAAATAAAACTCAACTGATTTCCACCTCCCAAATGACCTGGAGTTGAGGTGACGGTAGAATTACCAGCATCCGCAATTGCATATGAAGGGTACTTTATGGCTGACGTGCCCCAATGCAAAAAGCTCTCTCCTTGTAGAACCATGATTTGCTTGAGAACAGCCATTCTGATTATCAGAATCCAAATCTTCCTAGAACAAGAAGGTCAAAGGGTGCTTCTGGCTTCCCCTGATGATTCTGCTTTGACATGGGTAAAATGTTGCCACTAGGGGTGGCGTTTTCAGATTTCTTGGATGACAATTCTCACAGTTCCCCATTCTGGAAGTGCTATCTGATTTATCTACACCATACAGATGCTTAAATGTGGCTCACTTGGGGGGGAAAAGCTTAAACTGGAAGGTTTTGAGACCGAGCTAGACCTGGTTTGTGCCAAGCTTCATGTTCCTGCTCGTGCTACCTGGGAGCTTTCCTTTTGGACCGCATGGAGCTTGGCCTAGCTAAGACTCAAAGTTTTCCGGTTTGGCCTTTTCTCCCAGGACAGCCACATTTAGGTGTCTGTAAGGGGTATGGAACTCAGACAGAACTCCTAGAATGGGGGTTATGGGAGTTTTGGTCCAAGAAATTAAAAAAAATCCGATCCTTAGTTGGTACATACCCACTCTGCAGACTTCAAGGCCCCTTCAGGTACTGCCAACTGTTAAGATATGATCAGCAGTCTGCTTTGTAGAACTCGCACAAGCATTCACTAGATTATGCTGTGCGCATTCGAGCCACATGGGAATGAAAGGATTCAAGACTCATTGCCTCCTACCAATTGCAGGGAACCAACTGTCACTACCACGGAAGAGCCCGACTTGTTGATGCAAAATGTCCAGAAGTTTGGCATAGTTCACTTAAATGCAGATCCAGCAAAAATTTTCAATGGAAGAAATGTGTAATATGTTTATTTAATGCAACCTGCATTAAAAGCAATCTCTAATTTGCTTACAAAGAAAAAGTGCCATGTTCTCAAGTGTAGTTTTTCTTAAGAAGTTGATTCCTGCTGAAAACTAAAGAACACTTCCAAAAATTTCCCGAGAGGTTCTGATATTTTAACAGCCTCAAGCGAGAAAGCTAGGAAAGGTAAACTAGCAAACAAGTGCCTATTATCAGTATTATTTCAACAAAATTAAACAAAGGGATGTGCCCACATCTGACCCTACTTTGTGGTTTTCGCACATGAGATGGCCAGGTTAGAGAGAACTATCACACCTCATTTTCTACCATTTGAAGAGGCAGACTCTTCCATTCTGGAGACAGTGGGTGGAATACCTGATCCTCCAAATGTTTGGGGAAATACAGTTCCCATAATCCCTTACCACTAGTCATGTTGAATAGGGAAGATCAGGATTAACATTAGACTAGAGGAAGAGCGTTCCTGGAGAAGATCAAGGGCTAATCTAGTCTAGGATTCTGTTTTCACAATGGTTAAAACAGATGTGCATGGGATGTGCAGAAGCTGGTTGTGACTATGTGTGCATCCTGCTTCTCCTGTTCTTCAG